AAAAAAAAAAAAAAAAAAGAAAAAGGGTGAAAGGCAGCCCCAGAGTGGGAGAAGAGATTTGTAAAATGGGCAAAGGCCTTATAATTGGAATATATAAAGAACTCCTAAAAAATCAGTAAGAAAACCACAGACATCCCAAGAGAAAAATGGGCAAATGTCTCAAGTAGGTATCTGGTGAAAGAGGAGATGCAGATGGCCAATGAATCTGCACAAAATGCTCATCATGGTTAATCATTAGGGAAATGTAAATGAAATCCACAGGAGACACCTGGGCACAACCTCCAGAATGCACACAGTGACCCAGTGGCAAGGACAGGAACGACCACTTTGGAAAACTCTTTAGCAGCACAGCCAAACGTAGCCTCCCCACTAAAAATGCCCTTTGCTCAGAACCCAGCAGCAGCTCCAAAGTCTCCACCCAGCCTGTGGTGCCCCAGTAACCACCCTTGCCTCCCATGCCTCTCTCCTCACCCCTGCATTTGGCTGCCCTCACCCTCTGGCTGTACCTTGAACACCCGAAGGGCACTCCTGCCTCCAGCCTCTACCTGGAATTTTCTGCCCTCATGTAGCCATGTGGTTCACTCCTCCCTCGGTCTCTGCCCAAATGGCCCCTGTAGAAGAGACCTCCCCACCCAGCCATGTCCTCTCCCTGTGACTTGCCACCCCAGACTTTCTGTGTTTATGCATCATTGTCCACCTCCTTTCATCAGAGTGTGAGCTCCGCAGGCAAAGGCTCTTCAGACCTGAGGCAGTCTAGGTTCTGTCCCCAGAGTCTAGAATAGAGCCTGCCACATAATTGGCGCTCAATAAATGTTACATAAATTAATGGAAACCGTCCTGGCACCAGTGGTAGCTCTGTTTCCACCAAAGGAATGAGCTTGCCAAGACAGAGACAACATCATGAAAGAAAGACAGAAAAGCCACGCTCAGACCCATCACTGAGTTCTGGATCAAGTCTTTTTTTTTTTTTTCAGACGAAGTTTCGCTCTTGTTGCCCAGGCTGGAGTGCAATGGCGTGATCTTGGCTCACTGCAACCTCTGCCTCCCAGGTTTAAGTGATTCTCCTGCCTCAGCCTCCCGAGTAGCTGGGATTACAGGCATATGCCACCACACCCAGCTACTTTTGTATTTTTAGTAGAGACGGGGTTTCTCCATGTTGGTCAGGCTGGTCTGGAACTCCCGACCTCAGGTGATCCAACCGCCTCGCCCTCCCAAAGCGCTGGGTTTACAGGTGCGAGCCATCATGCCCAGCTCCTATGTTATTTTTTAGGAGCTTTGTTGTTTTACTTTTCCTGTTTAGATCTATGATCTGTCAGAAATTAATTTTTGTGTGTGCTGTGAGGTAGGGGTGTGAGGTATGGTGAGAAAAAAGATTCATGGTTCCCCATTTGGATATCCAGTTGGCTGGGTGGGGTGACTTATGCCTGTAATCCCAGTACTTTGGGAAGTCAAGGCAGGAGAACTGTTGGAGCCCAGGAGTTCAAGACCAATCTGGGCAACATAGTGAGACCCCGTGGATCGACAGATGAATTGGTCAATCAATCAATAGATAGATAGATATCCAAATTATCCAAAACTATTCACAGAAAAGCCCATCCATTCCCTACAGCATGACTCAGGGATCACTAATGTATGGAAGCTTCTAGACACGCTATCGTTTTTCATTGGTTGATTTGTCCTTCTCTGACAGGTACCACATTATCTTAATTACTATAGCTTTTTATTTTTT